TTCTCTCAATTTCACCTCACACTACCTACCTACCACTAATTGTAGGCATACTGGGAACTCCGTAGCAGCCAGAACTGTGTGGCAACGAGAAAATAATAATAATAATAATAAAGAAAATCGAAAGTCCTTTTTTTTTTTTTTTTTTTAAAAAACGTGTTTTCGACAGTGATGTGGCGAGCCCCTGTATTCCAACAGTTCAGGGGGGTGTACCAACTGAGGGCATGCTCACACCCAGAGCTAGGCCCGTTGGCTCTGTGTGGATTTTGAAGTGGCACCTCAGCCTGAGCTCGACTTTTTGAATTCCCCAGGGGCCTCGCTCCACTACACAACACTCTACAACATGCATTTGGAGGCCATGTTGACTTTCGCGAGTGTTGGACGCATCCCAATGCACCTGGTCACGATGACGTCCAGATACGTGTGGACTGTTATACGTCACGGTAGTGGAGCGAGGCCCCTGGGCGATTTTTGGAGCACGATGTCCGATTGCGGAATAGGGGTGAGGTCCCACCAGCAAAGAGGATTGGATTGGAGGCCGGAATCTCGCCGCTTTTGTGGACAAGTGCAGAAAATCGAGATTGAACTCCTGTTCTGCATCTCTGCCTAAAACACACACAGATTCATGATCTTAATCCAATCCCAGTTGCTAGTGGGACCATGCTCTAGAACGCATTACCGACCGACAGGGTGGGTGGTCCGACAGAGCATCCGATGGGCAAATTGAGTTTGAGCCCTTGAGGGCCTCGCTGCAATACTCTCGAAAACGTGCAAAACGAGAGTGAATCTTCCGCTAGAATATGGAAAGATACACGGCCAATATTTTTGTCTTTTGTGCAATGTCGACATTGTCGAGAGCAGTGCAGCGAGGCCCTGATTCTCGACAGACTGAGTTTGTCTGAGCTGCCATCGCCGCGAGGAGGAGCCATTTGCAGGAGGGAGGCAAAGCCGAGAGACTACCTTCGTCACGCGAATACAACGCGCGGTCATTATTGCTGTACTTAGACGGAAACATAGCCCAACTATTACAGCTATTATAATGACCGTAATCTCCACGTGGCGGCTATCGTCGTCTATACGCTCTGCTGACGAGGTGTGGGCATAAATCACCTCCTCCTCCTCCTCCTCCTCTCGCGTGTGTTCGGCTTCCTTCTCCCGGCTTGCTCTCCGTGCGTCCTGCTCTTCGATTACCCCTATTCGCTACACAGCCTACACTAACTCGATTCTTCGTTGTCAGTTCATCAACTTTCTCTATGCTGCTCTCCCCCCCCGCGCCCCCCCCCCCTTCCCCTCGCGTCTCTTCCAGCTGTTGCTTTGAAATTCTCGTGCGACTGCCGGTTGCTATCGTCTACCCTTTGCTGCCGACTCAGTGCCGTGACGAGGTGTGGGTATGCTTACCACCTCCACCTCCTCTCCCGTGTGTGTTTGGCTTCTCTCTCCGTGCCTCCTGCTCCTCCTGGCACCCTTTGCTTAACCCCACCCTTTGCTTAACCCCATTTGCCACAGTAACTCCATGCCCGCCTTTGCTCCTCCCGTCTGTTGGTGAGCTTTTAAGGTTTCGCTATGGCCCGCCCGCCTTCCCCTCACTTCGTGCTGTGGCTTTCTCCTTGTCTCGTGTTCTTTTCTCGTCTCCCTCTTTGTACTCCTCTTCTCCTCCTGTCTCCCCTCCTCCTCCTCCTCCTCCTCCTCCTCGGATCCTCCTCCTCGGATCCTCCTCCTCCTCTTCCTCGTCCTCGGATCTTACCTCCTCCACCTTCTCGTCCTCCGCCTGCTCCTCCTTTTCGTCACTTGCTGCCGATCTCACGCGCACTGCGCTCGTTCTCGATATCCGTCGGATTCCTTCCCCTTGGCTGTCGGCTCCTCTCTCTATCGTGCTCTCTCCCACTCCTCTCGTTACTCGCTTCTCCTCTCCTCGCTGCATCTTCACTCTCACCCTCTTTTTGCTCTCTCCTCCGCTGCTCGCTCGCCTTCGACTTCATAGTCTTCGTCATCGTGTTTGCCTCCCTTGAATCCCTTCCTTCTACCTTTTTCCTGCCACCTACGATCTGACTCTTTGTGCCACTCTCTTCTCCTACCGGTAGGACTGGTGGCTCGATGACTATGAAAAAAAACTCAACCCGAGAGGTGGAGGGGGAGGTATGACGTCGAGGGGGGGGATCGGATAAGAGACCATGGAAGGGGCATTTTGGCGCGGGGGGGGTAGAGGGGGCTCTCGTGACGGTTAAACGCAAGTAAGTTGTAGGAGATGTGCGGAAAGAACGCAGCAAGAGGAGAGGAGGAGGAGGAGGAGGAGGAGCGGGGGGGATTTCAAACTGAGTAGGTGTCGAATAGCGGAAGAGCGTTGATGGCTCCCTTCTTGGCAGGAGGAGGAGGGAGAATGGGAGAAGGAGGAGAGGTAATACGTGGAGAACTAGCCATCCTTCGGAAGATGCTTTGTCAAACAGGATGTTAATAACCTCCTCCTCCTCCTCCTCCTCCTCCTCCTCCCTCCCCTCCGTCTCCACCTCTGCGCGCCGAGTTCTCCTGTCCTCGCAGAAAAGTGATGTTGTAGGCTTTCATATATTCCTTGACTGCTCCCTCTCCCTGCTGGGGATCTTATTGTTGCTATTTTTGGATCCTTACGCTTGCTATTTTTAGATCATTACGCTAAGCCTTGCTATTTTTCGTTCATTACGGAATCTATATACCCCCCCCCCCCCCCCCC